ACACATATATACATATATATATATATACACACATATATACATATATACATATACATATATATATATACACACATATATATACACATAATATATATACACATATACATATATATATACATACACACACACATACATATATACATATATTTGTTCTTTAGAAATGTATGCATTTGTATTGTGCCTGATCCCAAACTCTGGCATGCGTGTTGGATAAAAAAAACAAAACAAAAAAAAACAACCCCCAACACACTTCAGGTTCACTTATGTCAAGTTCTCATGATTTTCCATTTTCCTGACTGGCACGATTAAGCCTCAATGTAATTTAAGCCTAGTCACTGGTAACTTATGAAAATGTGATATAATTAATGGGCCATAATAATTTACTTAACTCAATCAAGCTTGCAAGTTAAACTAGCTCATTTCATAACCTGCTCTTAAAGCTTCATGTATCAATAGCTGAACAATCTGCAAACTCCTGTTAAGCTATTCAGGAATTTTACTCACCACCACAGTGAAATGGTATTCCCAACATGAGAAGTAGATGCAGCATTAAGAAATCCATGACTTATCCTCATGTGACTGAGGGATTAGTGTTCACATTTATACTGGAAACTCGACCAGTTAATAAAAAAAAAAAAAAAAAAAAAAAAGGCCCCCATCCAAGAACTGCATCGTTTTCCTGGCAGGGACTTTCTCTTCCTGTCCAGCAGGTTGCCAAAATGCCAGCGCTAGTAAAAAGTAAACCTAAGCTGACTTTAATAGGAAAGTGCAAAGTCAGCTGTTAAAAGGATTTAAGAACAACAAACCAACCTTGGATTTAATGCAAATTTTTATTTTGTTTTCAATAGTATTACTAGAAACAGGTACAGCCATTCACTGAAAAAACAAGCTTTGTTGACATTTTGTGCAAAGTCATATAGTGCCATCAGAATATAAACTGACTTACTAGAAAAAGTATAAAGACTGCAAAGAGAATGTCGACAATAATGCTGCGATTTTGCATGCAGCACAAGAATCCCCCCCACACTTTAGGGGACGTGCGTAGAAACATTCTAAGCCAACTTCTATTGGTGATTTTTGTGTAAACACCTTTGATTTCACCTAGAAGCAGGAACTTTAAGACGACTTGTAAATGTTATAGCCATCATTTCACTTGCCAGCTTTCTCCAAACTCTTGGACACTCTTTGCCAGTTTGCCATCTGGCATCATCTTGTCATTTGCCTTTCGTCCATCAAAGTTCCCACATAGTCCCTCCACTTTCCTTCTATAAAGACGAGGTAAAGTGATCTCTGGAATGTGAACAAACAACGTTTAAAGTATTATGTAACAAAGGCAATTAACTAGTCACCAAGCTTATGGACACACTGATGAACTACCTGCGTTACAGCGTCCATCAAAGTCCACGGTGAGGCCAAAGTCTGTCTTCAGGTAGATGTGAGAAGAGCGCTCCTGGATGTTTAGGCCAGCAGCTGGTGTGATGGGAGTTTGAGTTTTACTTCCATCAACCTGCAGAATTACATTAGATTTCAATGGTAATTTGGTTTAAAAAACAAACAAACAAAACCTATGGTAATTGATTTGTGTGAGAGCTTGCCATATTTAGGATCAAAATATAATGTTATTGCAGTTTAAAGTGATCTCGCTTTATTTCTCATAAGCATCAGTACATGAAATGACACTAGGGAAATAAATGTGCAGCTCATAATCGGGTGCATATATCCTCTTCCTCACTCCAGTTACCAAAGCCACCTTAAATAGAGAGTGTTCGAGAAAAGTTATTTCCCTGGTTGGTTCTCCAGATATTTACACCCAAATATCCCAAGTCTGAAAATGCAAAAGCGAGGGGACAACACAAAAAAACCCAAAATAATTCTGATACTTACAAGCAGCTTCCGATTTTTTCGGAACTCCACAGTATGATTGTACACCCTTATCTTGATCTCTTGCAGTCTCTTTTCACTAAGCTCTTTGCTCTCGTCGTCATCATCTTCTTCACTGCTGTCACTATTTTGATCATCATTTTCCTCAGTGCATGTATTAAAAATTTCAATATAGAGATCTGGCAGATTACCCGGCAGGTTTTTGGTCCTGACCAGCACATAGGAGAGTTTCCCCTCAAAGTTATGCTTCATTTTGTCAAATGTTTTGTACTGAGGTTCTCCTTTGATGGTGCAGTCACTGAAGTCTGCCAAAGAACAAGCAAAGAGAGGTT